GCTACATGTATGGAGGAAGATTCTCACCGGAAGACTTCCTCGGCCTTATAATGAACCCAGAGGGTTGTGTTTTTCTTGGTGGGATTACTTTCACCCACTTCATCCACTAGGAATCTATGGTAACTTTTCACGGGATTGTGATTTATCCCAAGTAAGAATAGAGACTGCATCAGCCATAAGGACAGAAAGAGACCATCATCCCACTGCTAGCTTCATGATCAGAATTGAAAATGTAATTGATTAATTAATTTATTGAAGTATCTTTATTTTTTCTATTTCAGTTGTGCTCACGCACAACTGGATCAGAACTCACTGTGGCAAATGTGGAACCACCTGCATGGGTCTGCTCTTGCTCCAGAAGACTGTGGCCCGTTGTTCAAGAGACAAATGAGTCAGCCAAAACCAGGAGGAAAAGCAGAGCAGAAAGCTCACAACAGATTTTCTCAGGTGATAGACTCTCATCTGAAATAACGTCTGCTGCATTCCTGTTTCACCATATTTCTTACTCTTCTCCTGTTTCCTGGGAACCAACTTAAGGGCACCATTACAGTTCTTAGCTTGGAGGGCAGTGTGCTGCAGAGTTAGAACAAGAGCACTGATTTAATTTTTTTTTTACTATATGGACTTTGGTAACAATAAATAAAAACTCCTGTATTAGGATGTTAGGATAGGGCAGTAACAGAGGTCACCAACATGAACTGAGTGACTCCAAAGAGTGGAAAGCGCTGGTTTTCCGTTGGCCCATCAGACAGCTGCCACTCAGTATAGTTGCCCACTGTCAACGGATTCTTTGTAGGCACTGCAACTGTGTTTCCTATTTTGCAGCCTGGCACAGATTAGCAGTTCTCTGGCAACTCGGCTCCAAGGCTCTGAACCTTTATGAAGGTTGTCTGCAGGCAGCTACGCTCATGAAAAGCTGAGGTAACAGGGCTCGTTCAGTAAGAGAGCATCCTACAGAATGGCTGGACTCAAGAGACTCAACAAATGTAACTCCTTGGGGGAGATGGCTGTTGCCTCCTATGGATTTTGGATGAAGGTATCAGGCTGCTAGATGGCCTGATGCTTCTGGAGTCAGAAAGCAGCTAGTGTTGCTTTCTAGGACTGAATGGTAGAAACTATAACAATAACCTACCTTTTCCATGGATATTTCCAGTGTCTGTGGAGATGAAGAGGGCACCTCTTCTTTTGTCGTTTAGCAAGCTTCTATTTTTTTATCATTGCTGGTTTCCATGAGCATCCCTGCCAAAACATTTCTCCCATTTACCATATGAATTTTGGATTCCTTTTCCCCCAGAGGTGATTTTCCAGGTGGAATATCAGTGAATATGAAGGGTTAAAAGCTGGAAGCTATGAGTCCTTCTTGATTTGACATTGTTGGGTGAGCGGTGGAAAAGCTACCTGTTCCTGGGCATATTGTACACTAACAGGAAACAATGGAGCAAGGAAGAAACTGAATACAAAAACCAATCTGCATTCTGTACTAGCAGCAGAGATATTTGGGAAACTGATGTGCCTTTCCTCAAGTACAGGTTGGGAAGATATTTTGTTTGAGAATTATTTGTCTTGTGTTTGTTAACGACTTCTTTCCTGAATTTTTCTAACTGAAAATGTTATGTGGACACACTGTGGGCTGCAGCTGGAGCGTTTGTGCAGGACTGAGACCAGACAGTGATAATCCTCTATTTTCAGAGGCACTCTAGTTGTTGGTCAGCTTAAGATAATGTGATTTTATGACTGTGTTAAATCTGTATAAGACAATGGTAATGACAGTTTTTGTATCAGACACTTTCTTAGCTCTTGGGCAGGTTTCAGCTGTAATCTTTATTGCAAGTTTTATCTAAACTTCTTGCAGACTATTCACAAAGGACAACCCAAATGTGCTATCTGCAGACTGGTAAGTAGAGCACTTCATTAGGATGAGACAGGTACGCAGACTGAAACAAAGGGGTTTTCATTTTTTTCTACATAAAGTGCTTGAATACTATACCTCTGAGAAGACAAAAGAATTAAGAGAATGCTTTACGTACATCATGGAACTGCCTGATGCATGCTCAGTTACTAAAGATACGGATCAGGGCAATCTGTCTGCCATGTATCATGTATTGTCATCCACCATGTTGCTGGCAGCTCTGACTTAGACCATCAGGCAGCTGACAGTTTCCATCTGCTTAACTCTCTGCCTCTGAAAAACTGATACAAGCAATCCTAGCATCTGACGGAGGCCTGGGGCTTTAGCAAAACCGAAATATCAGCCTTGCAATGCAAAAGTAATGCCTCTTGGTTTGAGAAAGCAGTATGAAATGATACTGTTTTGTAATGCCATGGCAGCTCAGTTGCTATTTGTTCTTCCAGCCTCTCCCTGTGGATATATCGAAGAGACAGATCCAAACATGTAGCTGTGAAGCACAGTGGTGACTTAAGATTGCTGTTTTCTGTTTCTCAATGGGCATAAAATTCAGTAAGTACCTCACTTGCATCAGTGCTTCTAGAAATCCCACTAAATAGTTATCTAGAAAATATCTACAATTTCTAATGACAGAAATGTCTGGCTTTGTGTTTTGATACTAATTGCTCTTTTAAAATGGTTTTCCAAATTAGGCTAGAAAAAGTAGCATATTTACAGGAAGAACTAGGACACTTTCTTCACAGTATAACATTGTTCCTTGAAAGTAATTCTTAAGTTTGAATTGCTTTAAAAAAAAAAAAAAGCAATAAGACCTAAAGGGGGAAAGAGCAGTTACAGTGGGGATTTTTGGAATGTCACAATTAGATTATGTTTTAAGAATTTTTTTTTTCCTGGAACCACTTTTTTCTGCGCAGCTTCTTGAGGTAGCCTTGTAAAAATTCCCTCAGAAAACTGATATTAGGGAAATACTAATAATGTGTTTTCTGTGTCTTACAGTGTAGAAGCTCATTGTAGAGCAATATTTTGAGGTACAAGACACACCTTGGATTTGTATCTGTTTAAAGTCTGGCATGATCAGTATTAATTCCAACACAGAATTAAGTCTACTGAATATTTTTTTTTGACGTGCCTTTGTGTGCTTTCTGTCATCTTGTGAAATAAATTGTCAGAAGTTACCAAGACAATGTGGTTTATTGCAGAGAGCTAAGAATGATCTTATAGACTGGAATGTCTGAGAAATAAGCAAGACCATTTTGAAGTTTATTAGTTAATACAATATTATACCTAGGCAGGTCTGTCCCATAATCACAGTCTTACACGTCGAAAAATGGCATGCCCCTTTGTTCCATGTTAATGCCAAGATAAAATTATCGTAGACCCCAAACAAACAATTCCCTAACACAGCACTTGGAAGATTTGAAGTTGTCTTGAGAAGTAGTTTTGTTATTTCCTGGGAATCAAACAGTGTCTATCACTGATCAATTACAGCCTTACTGTGCTAGAAAAATCTCATTGAAAAAAAAAAAGTCACAGCTTTTTTGAAACTCTTCCCAAAGGACTCTAGATTTCACATGCTTGTATCCCATCACACATGGGCTCACAGTGGGGGCTCTGCACTCAAGCACTCACTGTGCACCAGCCCAGTATCATGAAAACTTTCTCTCCTTTGATGTGATCCCCATGTAGTTCTTGTGTGTTTTACATTTGCTGGTGCAGTCCCTTCTCACATGACCTGTTAATATCAATCTCATATTTTGATTGTCAGACATATGTGTGTAATAGGAAAGTAAGTTCTACAGGAAGACCTACTATATTTTATGAAACGTACCGATGTAGCCAAAAACCTTTGGGCTCACCGGTCCAGTATATCCTAGGGTGTGTATATAAATCGGTTGTTCTGCAGGAGGACAAGACATGGGTCTCGTTGGCTGCTATTGCTTTGTTGTTTTCACCGTTGCAAGATCTGGGTCAGATGGTAAAATAAACCAGCTGAAACATAGATGGGGGAAGCATTTGGTGGAGCAGAACTGCTCAGTCTTCCCAGCAACTGGTGCCTACCAGAGCACTCTCCGATTAGTCAGCATTCTTGTTCTGCTCCTGCAGTGGTTTCCACCTCTACAGTATCAGGCTCTGCTTCATGCAGTAAAATCACTAGCTAAACTTCTCGACACAGCCTTGCTGAGGGAACAGTGATGGATATACTATTTTTGGTGATTTATGCATAATTTAAAATGAGCTTTAAATCATAAATGTTGTTAACAGGTCCCTGTGACAAAGGTGAAAAGATGCTAAAGATCTGGTATTCTTTCCTGCTGTGTTTGCTGTCCTTACAGCTTGAAGCTAATCCTGGTCTCAAAGTGCAGATTACTCAGAAAGGGCTGGACTATGGTATGTGTGATGTCACCATAAGTTAATTTACAATAAATATTTTTTGCACAAAAAGTAATTTCTTAATAGAAGTGCAGTGTAAAAAGAAGGTCCAGAAATGTTGAAATAGAGCAAATTATTTTCATCTCACACCAAGGGTCTCTTGTCTCCATGTGTCTTCTCTCGCTAGTTCCTTTCCTTTTTGCACACCCTAGATGTGAATTTATCTTTGCATTAGTGTGTGCATTCTCATACAGCCCAGTCAGTTGTATGAGAGTACACTCCTCATATTGATCTACTTTCTTAGAACCAGAATTATGTGGTTGTATAACTGCTTCTTTTTAAAAAATGTCAAAAACTCCATTAAAAGTGCTATATTTATTGAAGATAAGGAAGATATGGCTGGAAAAAAAATGAAAGAATGAAGAAAATCCATACTGGGTCTCACAGTTGTACTCTCATTCCTCCATTTGGGTGAGACAGCATCTACATCTGCCATTTCCTTAGACAATCTAGTAACTATCTGCCACATCCACAGTATATTTTTCTTGCTCTTTGTATTCCTGCTAGTTCTCACTGTTTGTTACCCAAGACTCACTCCATGGGTGTGGAGGACATCAAGTACAATTTCAATTGTTTACAGAATTAATATTAATAAGAAAGGTTAACAAGGCACAGATTCAACAAAGGCCAGGTCATGCAAAGGATTAATTTTCATTTATGTTCTGAACATGCTGACAGGTAGACAATGGACTTGTGAGATGAAAAGTAAAAGCTAAGGGTTTATAACTCTGAGATGAAAGCAAGGATCAGGTCCACTTACTTCTATATATGAGCATTGTTTTAAAGGCTTTTGAGGAGTTGGGAAGTGCAAGGCAAACATCAGTCATTTAAAACACAACTAATCTCCATACATTCCTATGGCACACAGGAATTAGCTCTCTGGGGATCTCTCAAGCCTTTAGAAATCAGAATTCCTGGTATTTCTTTAGTGTGAGCCCAGCAGAGCTGTGTGGATGTTCACCACAGCATTTTGAGCGCTGGAGGAAGAGATGGAGCTTGGTCACCCCTGTGTTTGGGATAAGAAGAGGCAGTAACTGTGCCCCTCCCAAAGGTACTTAGTATCTCCCACTTGAGGAGGATGGCGCCTCTCATGTCTTTCAATGAGATTTGAAAGCTGAGGCAATAGATCCTGGCTGCTACCTGGGCTGACCAGCTGCCTTCATTTACAGTCACGAGGGAGCTTGTGGGTACTCCTCTCAGACAGAGCTCATATTTTGCTTTGGAGGCAAGAATGCCCAGGGAATCATCACTTAGCCTGTTTGCTGAGACAAAACATAAATACTCAGAAATGGGAAGGGAACATTTAAAAGGATTGGGCTTAAACCTCGAACGACTTCCAGTATACAAACAACAATACAGGTAGTTCTGTATTTGACAATTCAGATGCACATGATGGCACTTTTTATGTAAGTAAGGACTAAGCATAGAGGTCACATTGCTACTTCTTAATTAACTTTGCCATTCAACAGATATGAGTCAATCTGAGGTAAAACTGATGACCAAGTGTTTCCCAAGGCTACCCACATTGTGAGTGAAATGAGGGAAGTATAACAGTTTCAAAAACCTAAAAAGAGTTGTAGAATAAAAGATACAACTTCTCATAAGTGACCATCTGGATCTTGAGTGAAATGAATTGTATGTGAGGCGAATGGAGGTTATAATATAATAGCTGGAACTAGGTCCAGGTAAAGGTTTAAGAATCAGAGATTTCTGAGCAAAATGTTACAAGTACTCAAATTATTTGGCACTCTCTTTGGGTACCAGAACCCTATCTGAAAAGATTCCCTTGTCCCTTTGTAGGCAAGACAATTGGGATGGAACTCCTGAAGGAAGCAATACTGAAAGAGACCTTCCCAAGCTGGAGTGGGCAGGAGAGCTTTGCATTTGTTAAAGTCAACTACAGAATTTCAAGGTAAGTGGAGGGAATATGGAGGAGGGAAATACTGGAAGGAAATAGAGGAGGAAGTACATAAGTAAGTAGAGGAAATACATTTCAAAGCACTAGAATGAAACAGCCTATTCTTTGTGTGTTTGTGTCATAGCAATGTCAAGGAGGATTTCTTTCCTTGTCCAACACACAAGATAGGGCAGTAATAATTATGTAGCTTTTTTCGTGTTGTTCAGTGTAAAACAACCCTATTGCTGCCTGAACACAGTTTCATTTTATAAGTACTTTCCTTTACCACACCCCAGGGTGAGCTTTAGAGAGCCTCGGAATGAATGCCTGGGCCGTTTTCTTGACTTGTTTCAAAGTCTGGGGCAACACAGAAATAAGCCTATAAAGCTTATGACTCCACAGAGGAAGAGATGGGGAAGAGGTGACATTGCTGACAACCTGAAACCATGAAGAACCTGTAGTAATGAAAAAAAAGCTTGTTTGTATTTGGTGAGAAAAAGGAGGCAATGGGATAAGGTGAAAATGTGAGCGTTGGGATATTATATCTGGGCTGAGAAAGATGAAAGGGCAGGAAATATTACTTTTACGGAAGATTTTTGAATAGATTTACAAAAGGTGAAATAGGAAAAAAAAATCTAGGGAGCACCAGAGCAAGGGTTGAGAGAGGCTGGGAAATCCCTGTCCTTGGAGATGCCCAAGACTCTGTTGGGCAGGGTCCTGAGTTGGCCCAGCCTTGAGCAAGAGATTGGACCAGATGATCTCCCGAGGTCCCTTCCAACCTACATTATTCTATGTTTTTCAAAATCCCAGTTTATTCTCCTAACCATAGTCCTTGCAATTGGCCATCTTCCCAGGGGGTAATTTGATTTAGTTCCCTGAAAAGAGGATTACTAAAGGTGGCCTTACTGCTGCCTAAGATGTTACTGGAAAATTACATTTTAAGTCATTTTAAGTAAAAGTAGTTGGTGCATTCTGCCCCAACAAAACTAATGGAAGGGATTGGACAATTAGATTAAAGGCAATTATTTCAAGAGATTTCTGCCAGATATCAGGAAACAATGAAGCATGTGAACTGTATGATAAGATTGCAGTTGATATCTTTACAATGTTCAGCTCAAGTCAACCTTCCCAACCCCCCCAAGACAATACCCTGTAGTATCAGAAACATTTGTTTTGGCAGGGAAAAATTTAAGCAAGATTTTGTTTTGAGAAATGGAGCTTCTCAAGGATCCTTTGCTGAGATAAGGGAGGAGGAGACCGAATGAGGGAAGAGGGACTCTGATGTTTTTCTTCTAGTAAATGCTAGTGTTCCAACAACCTGGATTTATTTATAAATGTACCATCTGGTTTCGATGCAAAGACTTATTTCCCTTCTGCAGGCACATTTCACTTTGAGGAGCTTGTACTCCCTAGAGGAACCTTTTTTTTTTTTCTTTCTTTTTTTCTTCAGCACATCCTTTTTCCCCTGAACAGATGCTAAGGATTCCTTTTTCCAAGGATGCTACTCAGTATAATGGAGCACGTGTCTCTCTTCCCTAAAATTTATAAGACTCAGTCATTCCTGAGAAATAGCATAATCAGAACTCCTTCTCACCCTTTTGACATGCAGTCTAATATCCTCCTTTCTGTTTTCTATAGGCTCAGAATTAATGCTGTAGATTTCCCAGAAACTTCTGCGTCCTTCATTCCTGGCACTGGCATTAGTTTGTCAGTGGCACGGGCTTCTGCTACTATCAGTGCAGACTGGGGATTGAAAACGTGGCTGCTGTAAGTATTGTATGGTGTGAGAGGGGGTGTCTGGGAGAACAAAACTGGGATCACAATTGAATTTGTGAAATTTAGTTATTAATATATTTTTTAGGTCAGATATGCTTTATCATTTATCAACAATTTGTTTGGATAAACTTCTCAAGAAAAAAAAATTCCCCGTCAGCTAATGCTTTCTTTTGTAAAAGATTTCCCCCCCTAAGTTTGTTTCTTTGGGAAGTATGAGGTTGAATACCTGTTAATTTGCTCGGCTTGTCCAGAGTGTATGTTACACAAATATTTAGGATCACAGAGTTTCCAGTAACAATATTTGTTACTTTCTGTGTACTGTATTCCTGAAAGGTTGACTATAACTAAGTATATATATGCCAGTACTACTGTATATTATTTTGAAAGAGTTTCCATTTAAAGGGGGGTACTATTGCAGTGCTGAACATTCAGATATTAGGAAATTCCAGATCCAAGTTGTCTTGACTTCATGAGCAAGTGCAGTTTATTGTCCATAATGATACGACCACATACTCCTTTTTCCACTTTTTTCTTACCTCAGCATTTTTGCTGCAGATTTTTAATATAATATTCTAGATTTTCAATTTATTCAGGTGAGGAGGAAAAGCTTACAGGATATCAACAGAACTTGCAAAGTGCTAATCTCAACGTTTTGGGTTAATGGAGTAACTGTCAACAGCAGTTGGTGTTTCCCTGTTTATGAGCCATATTGCACAGAAAGATGAATCACCAGACTGACAGTTCACAGCGTGTCCTGTTTTCAAAGGAGCACAGACACCCAGTTCTGCTTTCAATATAAGGTATCAGTGGCCAGGAACCACTGTCAGTGTGGCCTCAGCCTGCCTCTGTTCCTTCTGGCATACCAGTATTGTAAGGAAAAAGACACTGAATTCAGCAGGGCAGATCAACTGTTCCCAAACACGAAGCCGCCTTCCCTCTTGGTGAAGCGTGAGGACCTGAACATAATCTGGAGAGACCCCAGACACATTAAACTCCAAGGACTTCATCCACACCAAGGCAGTCAGGGAGCTGGGTGGGATGCATGGTGGAGATGGTCAAAGCCAGCTTTGATGGAGTTTAGGATGTGAAGGGATTTTCTTGCCTTTTTGAGTGGCAGAGGGACCAGTCTGAGTTCTTCTGTTCAATATTAGGTTCTGTGTGTGGCTGTAGGTTGAAATCTGCAGAACCTCCATTCCCTAGTCCTACCTGTTGCCCTGAGCGTAGAAAAGAGGGCACATCTGAAAAGGACCTTTCCAAGGGAGGCCTTTGACTATCCAGCCCTCCTGGGTTGTTCCTACGGTTGATAACAGGTAGATATTACACCACTTTCTAGGCAGTATCTTTGAGTTCCTAGCCTTCACCCTAGCCCTCCTCTTCATTGAGTCCCAGAGCACTCTTCCAGTCCCAAAGTCTCCTAGGAGGCCTTTTGCTCCCACAGACCCAGAGCTAAGATCCTGCCTCCATGAAGCAGGATTCCTCCTGAAGAAAAGGACTTAAGGATGCAGGAAGGAGGTCCTGACTATCCGGGTGTACCCTGGCCTCCCATGCAGCCTTGAAAGAGAGGAGGAGGCAGAGAACAGGACACTGCTGCTGGAGTGTGGGGAAGGCTGGGTTGGAAGGTGTCTCCAAAGGTCATTTTGTGTAGCTTCCAGCTCAAAACAGGGTGATCACCAGACTGGATCTAGTGGATCAGCTATCTAGTGGTGCTGTTTAACCAAGGATGGTTCTGCAGCATCTCTAGATAATTTGTCCAGTGCTGCACAGCTCTCCCTATGAAGGTGTTTTTGCTAATGGCTTATGACTTGGAGTTTTGGTTAGGGACAGGAAAAAGAGGGTCTGAACAGTGGTACTTCTTATTGACAGCAATTTAATGCAAAAGTGTAGACAGAGAGTTGTGGAGGTCCAAATGGCAGTGATGGTAGGGGGAATTTTGTGTGGGGGAATGACACTGCTTGTCTCATCAGAAGTTGTGTATGATTTTGGGTTAGGTTAAGATTTATAACCCATTCTTTACTCTAGATGGTGGAAGCAGAGTCAAACTTGCAGATAGTTTTTTGAATAGCTCCTTTAAAGCAGGCATTTCTTGACTTGTTTTTGTTTTTGTCTGAGCAGAAGAGGCCAAGGAGGAATTACTGTGTCCCTTTCAGGACTGTTTATGGCAGTTGTTTTTGAAGTGTCGCGGGACAGCACAGGACACTTGTCTGTATTGCTGCACAATTGTCAGTTGATCATTAATAGTGTAAAAGTCCGGTTAAATGGAGGATCTAGGTAAGTATAAGAGATTTTCTGATTACTTTGCAGGAAGTATGAGAGATTTTAACAAAAGGACCACCTCTCAAGCATGGATGTGAACAACTTCGCAAGGTTATGAAAAATAAGTTTTTAAAAGCCTGTTTACAAAAACAGACTCCTTTGGTCAGTGTGTAAAGTGCAGATAGTCTACACTTTTCTTTCACCTGTACTGACAAATGGGCTTACCAGACATACTGCATATGCTAAAGAGCTAAAGAGCAGAAGATTGTGAATGGAAATTTGCCGTTATGAAAGTGGATCTAGGCTGATGAAGCATTTTGGCAAAATGACCTACAATTTAAGAGTAAAAGTTTTTATTTCAATGTGGAATATAAAATCCTGGTTGCAGTTCCCCTCATGTTCATTTTGTAGAATGTTTTCATGTCTTATGCAAAACAAAAATGTGGCTAATGGAGCATTTTTTGCTAATAGGTTAACGTGAACCTTCACAACTTTGCAGATGGCCTTCTTGCTAGCAGCCATGACACTGAGAAACAGCAGGGTTGGAAACTTGCAAGTTAACAAAAACAATTAATTGCAAAATCTGCTGATCTAATTGACACTGATGCCCTATTTCAAAAAGTTCCATTCTGATCTAGGCTTTTCTAGGGTAGATTATTTGATTATTAGCAAATTTGAATATTCGCTGTATATAGAGCAAATGTTTACATGAGTATATTATCTTTTACTACAGATCAAAGTATCTCATTTTTAAAAGTCTTTTGTTCATTTATTTTCCTCCAGCTGGGTCTATAACTTCCTGTCTGGTTATCTGGAGAAGGCCATTCACACCAAATTGGGTAAAAATGTAAGTCTACAAAGATGGTTTCAGTGAGTGAAGGGCAGGGTTCAGATACAGCCACTGTTTTACTGATTTCTCTCTCTTTTCATATAGCTGTGCCTAGATATCAAATACAAAATACAAATGTTGGATGCCTATCTTAGAAAGCTTAAGGGTGAGTCTTCAATATCAGTTTTTCGTTAAATAATTTTCACGCTGCTCAGTTTGTAGCCTTTTATTAAACTGAATAAAGTGTTCCTGTATTCATGGTACAAAAAGTAAAGTGCTCCGGCTGTTCTGTGCCTTAGCGTATTCCAGACTCCCACCTAGAAATCTCTTGCATGCATCTTATGTAGAATATGCAGATTTCTTCTGTTCTCCTAGTAAGTCATGTGTAATCTTTCAGCCTACTATGGCTCAGCTCTGTTGTTTTCTTAGATTTTAGAGGTAAAAATTACCATGTTCATCTTTTATGCTCTTGGTTCTGTGAATGCACTAAATTCAGTAATCCACTAAAGAGCTATCAAACATCCCATCCTGCAGTGCAATCCTATCAGATCTCACAAACTTAGTGTATCTTGTTTTGAACTTAAGTTCAAGGAGGTAGCAACATACTGCAGGAGGAGTGTCATACCTGGCATATTTCCATTCGCATCAGTAACAGTTCCTATGTCACTCTTGCAGAAATACTAGGAAAATAGATTATCTATGTTCAAGAAAACATATAAATATGAGATTTTCACTACTCAATTAGTATCTGTATTTTCTTTTCAAGTATAAGAATATTTATTTGTTGTTTTAACCATTCAAATTCACTAAATCACTGCACCACTGAGGTGGCAAAGTTGGTCCCACTCTTCACTTCTCATTGTGGCCATAACTATTAGCTGCTCCATATTCAGAGGCAGAGTAAGTAGGCTTTTATTTTTCCTAAAATGGCTTGCCAAACACTAGCAGGTATTAGTGAAAACCACAGTAGTCAAGGACAGTGTCTTGTACAGCAAGCACCCAAACTCTCAGGTTAGGTGCAATTTAGTTTGTATTCCCTTATTGAGGAGTTTAGTCTCTAGCAGAGACTGAAAAAGCATCTGTAAAGCAGACTTTACAGATAAAAATTAGCAATCAGACTGAAATTGCATGAGAGAATTTTTCAGGAAAAAAGTCTGTCAAGACTGTCAGACTGTCTGATATAAAGTGCCCTCTGTTGTTTTGAACAAGCATTCTTCAACTTCAATAGATAGGTTCAAAAATGTGCTAATGTCTTTTTTTTTTTTCAAAGTATTTTGAAAGCATTTGAAAGTTCAAAGTATTTACCAGTGTTGCATCATAATCATATCGGAGTTGAGGTTTCTTGTACAAAAACATAGCAAAAGAAGTATCTCCTTAGATACTTCCTTAATTCCATAGGGACAGATATATGAAGAACAGATTCAGTGGTGGAACACCAGCAACACAAATCTTAAATTTGGAGGGATCAGTGACTTTTCCAGAATCTTTCTCTCCTATAAAATTTCTCTTTTTATTTTCTTCTATCTTCTCCCACCTTTCATCTTCTTCAGATTCATAATTTCCAAAATGCCTTTTCCTTTAGCTAAGCAATAACAGTTTGTGATATGTTTTTGTAATAATGGCTGTTTTGTTTTGTCCATCATTCTTCTAGTCTTAAGCCAGATTGATGCCTTTGCACAAATAGACTATTCCCTAGTTAGTTCTCCAGCAGTCTTCAAATCACACCTTAACCTGGACTTAAAGGTAATTTGCCCTTGATAACCCTGTGTTCTGTCCAAGACGCTTTTGTTTCTCTTTCATGTTAGTTTATTTTCTTTCACTATGGTCTGACTCAGACAAGTCTGTCTACTCTTAATTAGAAGAGCAATATGACCTCTGGGCATTTTGGTCCACAGCTGTTATAGAAAAATAGATATGATTGTTTAATAAATTAGTGGTGTAAAACACTTATCCAATGTTGATATTTAGAATTATTTTTTTTCAGAGTTGAAGAGGTGCTTCGTAAACATTACAAAGTGCTATTTAGATTCACAGCCCTCCCACTACTGCTCGTTCTTTGCCTATTGCCAATGATACATAATTCATGCAGCTACCATTGTAGCTTGCAGCTACCAATGTCTATCACCCAAAAAAGGACTCTTCTCATGGAGAGTCCTTGAGGATCACAGGGCAGTTCCTTTCTCACCTCTTTTTCACCCTCTTTGACAAGAGATACCCCAGCAACGCCCAGCTGTTCCAGCAGCCCAGGCAGTCCTTGTGACTTAGAACATCCCCATACCTCTCAGAACTGGTTTCAGTTTAGAAAGAGGTGCTAAAGCTTTGGCTCATACCCTCCTTCTCAATTATTTTATTCAGGTGACTTTTACCTTTGAGCAAAGACTTTGCAAGCAAGACATACACACCTTAAGTACAAAGCAATTATTTATCAACTACTCTATCTAGCTAGTACTGAAATGCTACCTCAGGCTAAACTTCAACATGCTCACACCCCTGTTGAGACATCTGGTGTGTGATGAGTCTTTGTCAGGCAGTTATTAATCAGGTAAGAAAGCCTTGGCCTTCACTGGTCCTCAGAACAGGCTGATTCTTCCCTGAAGCAGGAGAAGGAACACGGCATCCAGAGGACTTTTGTAGCGTCTTCTGATTGCAATTCAGAGTAGTCATTCGAATGCTCGAATTTGAACTTTGAAAGGATGGAGACCAAGTATTCTCTGTGACTTCCGTGCCTTTCCAAAAAACAAAAACAAAAGCAAAAATTGAATTTGTTAATTTTTAGGGCATATCACAAAGTTAGTTGTTTACTTCAGGATTTCTTTAATATCAAGCATTTCTTCAGGGTAGGGAGAGAGAATAAAAATGCTTTCTGTTCATCTGCTCTTGCCATAGCCAGTAATTCTGACAGATAGTGATTTTATAAGTATAAATATTTAATAAAGACTCTTTACAGGGCACGGTCTATGCAGTAGGAAATCGTAGAGACCCTCCCTTTGTGCCAGCTCCATTTGCTCTCCCAAACCAGGGTGATTCCATGCTTTACCTGGGAGTCTCCAATTATTTTCTTAAATCTGCTTCACTGGCCTACTACAGAGCAGGGGTCTTCAACATCACCATCTCCCGAGAGGTGAGTATAATTTGCAAATGGTAGGATTATAAGTAACAGCAGTGTGGATAGTCAGCAGAGGAGAGTCACACATCACTGTGGAGCTCTTGGCCATCTCATAGAGATTTCACTTCTACCACCACATTCATTCTGTACTTCACCTTTTTCTGTAGTCAGGGCTAATTCTGAAGTTCTTGGTAGCTCTAGGCAAAGAATCATAATTATGAATGTAACAGGCTGCATCCAAGCCTTCTTCTGCACAGATTGCAGTGTTGTGTCCAAGCAGAATTAACAGGTGCAACACAAAAAACGGTGTTTTCCTGCAGTCTGCTGAGTAATGACCCACAACAGAAGAACTGGATGTGAGAGAACTATCAGACTTAACAGAGCAGTAGAATGGGATAAGAAGTAGGTACAATAAACCTGAGCACTCAATTGTGGGTGAAGAACATGGAAGACTTTCCCCAGAAATACTTTTTCTACACTGGTTTTGTTAGAAATTTGCCAGAAAATGTTGCTAACTACAAACTTTTGTAGTCAGCAAAGAGGTGACACAAATTTCATTGACTCTGTCACAGATACCAGCAACAGAGTCTAAATATTTTGACTCCTGCCTCCAACTCATTCACTATATACCATTTAAGAGAGGCCTGAACACAGAAATTAATAAGGATGATGTTTTTTTTTTCTTTCAAAAGATAATGCTTGCTTTCTGTCTAGTATGTACCTCTGAGATGCATCTGTGAGATATCTGTCTCTCTTTTGTCCCAAAGAGCATTGTAGCTTCCCTAAGAATCATTCTGGAGAAAGGAAATACTAAATCAAAACATGGATTACTACCATTAAAATAAATAAATAGAGTATTTTTTTTCAATGAAAAGCTTATTTCCAAGCTGATATGAGATGATCTAATTTCTTTCATTTTGTTTACAGCTTGCAACTGCTTTTAACCTAACCACAGCCCTATTCAAAAAATTTCTTCCTCAGGTAGGTACTTGTATTTGCACAGACATTTAAGAAAGAGTGGTAACTATTTTCATGTGGATATTACTTACTATCTGCAAAAGTTTCCAGAAGTTTGGAGGAGACAAGGGAACTGAGCTGGTGTATGATTAGTGGAAGAGTCAAATGCAGCATTCCTCAGAACTCCATGTTTTTCTTAATTTTATATCACCCTGTTCCTTAGTCACCCTGTTCCTTAGTCACCTTAAATGTCAGATTTGTTACCAGGCCCTGAAACAATTCTAAAGACTAAGTGGTAGCCACCTGTGAGATCAGTCTCCCTTTACTCCTCTTAAAAGTTAAGGTACCTCTACTGTCAGTAGCCTAACTTCTGTATGCAAAAATACCTCATTTAGGGCTGCTGAAACTTCGGTTTTTCAGAAGCCTGCCTGTCCTCCAAATTCTTTGTGTGATGTTCATGATCTTTTTCTTTAACATGAATCACTCACTTCCCTCTTTTTCTTTTCGACATAAAGTGCTAATCCCTTCCTTTTGAAACACAGTTTTCAGGAACAGTCTTTATATTATTTCCCCAAACTTGTTCAATATCAGTGGATCTAAAACTTTGTCATTTTTACCATTTTACCAGTTATAATTTGAGGTTGTGTTTTGTTTTTAGATTTATTTTTATTAATTATCAAGAGATTCACATATAGCACCTAATTATGACGCATTCACAGAAACCATAGTTTAAGAGAAATCTCTTCCACAGAAACTCAGCTTTTGACCTCTTTCCTCTTTGAAACTCCACAGATTGCTAGGTACTACGTAGCAGCACATCCAGTGCTACTGAAGCTGATGGCTACATCACCCCCCGAAGTCAGTTTGCAGGCAGATGGATGCAGCCTGCAGATCACTGGCCTTGTGGAAGTATTTGCTGTTCTGCCAAATTCAGCCATGCAGTACATCTTTACAGGGCATATAGTAAGTAATGTAAATTGGAAGGTAACATTCAGGCCTGGGGCTGAACAAATCACACAGTTATCTTCCAGATCCTTTGAAAGCCATACAAGTCAGTACAACATAGAAGGTACATGCCTGCCACAAACATACAGACTGTTCGATTGCATTTGGCAGGGAGGAAATATGCACTAAATAGTGCTGAATTTAATAGACAGGTGCCAGGAGCAAATTATCAAAGCCTTTTTTTTTCCATGTGGAAGTCATTCTTTAGGAAGAATGAATTGTAGCATATGATAAGCTTGATTGTTTGATGTTCAGTCTTCCTAACTCATTTGTTATAAAATAGTTCATTGTGTCTCCAGATATCTGTCATTAGGTTGAAAGTGAACTAGTTATGCTAGCCAAGCAAAGATTTAAATGATCCTAAAGATATGCAGGCAATCAGGGCTGTATTATGCATCAGCTTATGCAATCGTTGTTGCTGGCAGAAAGCAGCAAACTTAAAAAAGATTTCATTATCTGTAGTGACTAAGTAAAAAGTGTAGATGCTGTGTTCCCAATCACAAAAAGCCTTGTGCCTTTATCTGAGATAGGATGTTGTGTTCTGCACACAGTCACAGAAGACTTTTGTGTTTTTTTCCCTGCAGACAGCTAATACCAGAGCAAATCTGACAGTAACCAAACAGAAGTTGATTATCTCATTACTTCTAAAGAGGTAACCAAGGAAAATTCAGAAAGCAACATGAATGTTTCCAGCAACAGGACACGACAAAATTTCATTGCATCAGCCTCATAGTATTTGTTTTACCACGAGAAAAAGAAAATTAGTTGGCATCTTTCTCACAAAGACTTAAAGATATTCTGACTGGTCCAAATCTTGCAGATGAAATGTAATGATATTTTGGAACAGCAGTGTCTGTGCAATATGATACTACCACTTTCTGTAGGTTAAGCAGCATTCCAGATAAGAGAGTTCCATTTACTAGTTATCCTAAAAGCACCAGTTTATATCTGTGCTAATATTGGAGCATGAGATTCAGCAGTTTAGAATAAACCCTGTATCTGTTGCTTTTATGCTATGTCTGAGGCTCATAAACAGAACTGCCACAGTGTAAACACTGCACTGAACTACTGTAGCCAGCTCTTGGCATGCAATATAGCCAGCTCCCTGAATGCCTTTTTGTGAAGGGATGTCTTACAGTCACAGCTCAGGCCCACACATGACCTTAGAAGGAGATTAAGGATTTCTGAAAGATTCCAGTGATTCTAGATCTGATATGTAATAAAAGCTGCTGGGGACTCAAAAAAGCTTTGGCAAAGTCAAATGTGTGAATCAGCATGAAATCAGTGAAAAATTGCAGAAATGAAATTAACAGCAAATGCAAATTCACACCACTGCATAATTTTTTTTTAGGTCCCATTTCTGCACATACTCTAAGCAGCACCATAAGAAAATAATACATTTATTCCTTTGTGTGGATGGTAACAGTTTAGAATAAACACTTCTAGACTGTTTATTTCATATGGCATCACATCTTCAAGCAGTGATTAAGCATAACTTGTGCCTACATCCTTTCTAATGAATCCTCTTCCATTTCTTTCCCTCAGGCTCCAGTTGTCCCTGGTGCACTCCCTTGCCAGGTATTCCGGGGTAAGTTGGTGGCTGCAGTGTCTAGGTAATGTAGCTCAGCTCTTCAAAGATAGAAAATCATCAGAACTTTGTGCCTGCAGAATTCTTGGTCTGTCCTGGGGATATCATCTGCCACTGTTCGTCTTTAAAATATTATACTCTCTGCTATAGTATACTCTCTGCTTTTCTTTTTCTTTCCAGTAAGGAAAAATACTTCTTGGAGTGTGTTCTGTCATGAGGGACACCAAAACTTACAAAGTTATTACAGCGTAGCATAAATTGCAACAGGGAAAGGGCCTGACTGGGTCCTCATGACCTCGTGAACAAGCTTTCCCAGTTAATTCTCTGTGTTCTGTATCCAGAAGCACAAAGGCAGACATGGGCATAGAGCCTCTTCTAGCTGTTTCTGCAGCCAGCCTGAATTCACAGCTGGACTGAGTAGGCATCGGAGTTGGAGTGACTCCAGAGTCAGATTAAACCCTGTTTCAGGAATTATCACGAATCACTTCAACAAATATTGTAATAGGCAAGCGAAAGAAGGGAATAAAAGAAACACCATGACAGTGTTTAGACCATTCACCGCAGACTGAGAGGTGGTCAGTGCAACTCTGCAGCAGCTCCCCTGAAACTGCACCTTCAGTGAAGGCAGGAGGACAGAGCATGAGGACAGAGGCAAGTCTTGCCACTCAGAAAGCAGCACAGTTTGGAGAACTGACTGCTGGAAGCTGAAGTGAAGTTAAACATATTTCATTTCTATAGCTGAAGTTGAGCCTGATGCTTACATAAAGTAAAATAATAATAATAATAATAATAAAAGACTTCTATTTAAAGTATTGTAAGAAAGATGGACACCTTGTTGCAGTGTATGTTTTGCATCATCTAGCTGCAGATCAGAAAAAAAAAATCTTCTACTTGAGGTTTTCTCTGCCAAGTTGTGATCTTTTTGAATGTGACGCCACCTGTAGCTCTCTCTCTCTTCCTCTCAAGCTGCAATCCCACAGGCATCAAGAAATAATCACCATATGTATTTTCCCCCTTACAGCAGATCTCACTGGTGGAGGATTTTCTGTCTTATGCTTTGCAGAGTGTAGTGATCCCAGTAATCCATGGTAAGGATTGTGGCCCATTACTTGGCATAGTTGGTGGGAAAGAGAGGCTGAAGCTAAAAAAAGGAGTCTCCAACTTTAACAACTGTGTTATGGGAGATTTTCTGTCATTTGGCTATGACTGGATGTATTTATGTTGTGCTGGCCTTACAGTTTGGTCACAAAATCACCTGAACCAGAGGCTGGGGCAGAGCATGTCTCAACTTTCTTCGAAACCCTGTGCTTGGGTTTCCTTCCCACTGGATGTAGCATGAAGGCAGAGCTGGGACACACCTGTCTCGGGATTGACATGGAGCCAAGCCATGAGCAGAGAATGTCCCGAGCAGGGAAGCTCAGAACCGTGCCTGCATCTTGGGGTCCAGGGGCTGCCTGTCACATCATCCCTTTCCTCTGCTACTGTCCTCCCGCTGCTGCCTCAGGCAGGACAAAGAGGAGAATCGGTCTGTGGGATGCAGGAGGAGAGAGATGGTGAAAAATCAGGGGAAATTAAGGGGGAATTCACAAGCATATATGAACAGGGAAGAGTGCAGGCAGTTCCAATAAGGTTAAAGAGGGTCAAGGAGATGGCTGCAGGAGATGAGCTATTGATGAGGAGAAAGGAAGGGGGATGGACGGGACGAATGCAGAAGTCAGATGTCTAGAAAAGCAAATAGGAATAAAGCTGAGGTTTAATCCAGGAAAGCAGGGATGGATGAGAATAAGACAAACCAACAGGACAACAGAGAATTGGATAGAGAAGCAAAAGAGAGAGAGCAAGTTAGGTGGGGGAAAAAACAGGAATCAGAATGTGTGGGTACGTACCTGGAGAGGAGCAAAGGCAAATAGATGCCAGTGTTAGACAGCTGGGAAGAGCATGGTACTTTTTGTTTCCCACAGGACTTTTTGTGCTTTAACAAAAATGAATAGTAGCTGCCTTCCAGAGGCAAGATGGTGGCTTTTTAATTGGAAATTGTAAAGTACATTGAGTTCCTATTGAAAGAGGCTTCTGAAGCGCAAGTGTTTCATTATTACATATAGATGTGTTTATATTTGTCCCTTTTAAGATAAACTAGGAAAAGGATTTCCTCTTCCTAAGTTGGCCCACACTATCCTCGTCAGACCTGTAATAAAAATGAATCAGGTAAGAATCCCCATTTCTTGTTAAACCATGTTGTTTCATTTTCAAACCTATGAATTTACGTGAGTGCGACTGTGCTGGGTGGCTCAAAGTGTAGCTAATAGTAAAGCTTGATTATAGACTGTATGTAAATTCTAAACTCTGGATCAAAAATGAGCTCCTCTGTAGATTTGAGCAGTAGTAGGTTATAAAGGATCCCTCACTCTTTGGAGAATCTTAGCAATACAGAAACACCATGGGGACAGCTTTGCTATGCCCAGCAGGCCTGAGGAGCATTGAGAGATTGAGTCCTCCCTATTCTAACAGTCTTATAGTGTAAGAAAACTCATGGGCAACCTGAGTGCTGTTGTGGTAACTGGTACCTAGCCTTTTGGAGGGTTATTTTACACTAGAGACCGTTTTTTTATCCTAAAGTCAACTAAAATTCATGAGGCATAAATCTACCCTTGTCCCTTGGAATCTAGCCCCAGAGTACTGACCCTGAATATATTCACCTGAAAATTAAAGTAATTTTACATGTTCTTCTTTCCTCAGGGTCATCTGGTGATTTCCACTGATGTTCACTACAAACAAAAGGCAGGGGAAGATGGGGACCTTCACAGTCGCTCTTAGTGTCCTTTAACATTTGAGCTTTAATAACAGAAATGAAGTCTGTCTTCTACTAGCTTGTAGGGAGTAGATGCTATAAGATTAGATGCTGCCTTTTGGCCCTTCTTTTTAATGTTTTAGTAGAGACTTTTAACTTTGCACCAAATGCATCTGCTGCTTTTCAGCAGAGTGGGAGTGGCTGGCAAATTGATAGGGGTGTCCAAAGTCTGATGTGTGACTGCTTCTTCTTACTTGGGTTATAGACACCAATTGCTACTAATTTTAGGGACACGTTCTTGCATTATTCAACTTATCTCTATTAGTTTTAGCAAGGTTTCGTGTACACAATGAGATCTTAATCTCGATGCGTAAAAAATTCACAGCTTTTCCATAGATACTGTGTGTGGCAATAGATTTATGAAATGCAGTGAATGATTTAGGTTTTTTTCTCCCAATATCTAATCACAGATTTTCCCTTTCGTTTTATTACCATGTACCTCCAAGAAGAGTCTGGCTCCATCTTCTATACATTCTCCAGTCAGGTAGTTGTAGACAGCAATAAACCTTCTAGTCTGCAAGATGAATAGACCCAGATCTCTCAGCCTCTCTTTTTACGTCATGTTCTCCAACCTCCAGCCTTCTTGGTTGGACTTGCTTCTGTATATCTACATCCTTTTTTTTTTTTTTTTTTTACTGGGGAGCTCAAACTGGACAGAGCACTCCAAATGCAGTCTTACAAGTGCTGAATAGACAGGAAAGATCACTTCCCTGGACCTGGTGGCCACACTGCTGCTAATACAGCCCAGGAGGTGGTCAGGGGCCTTTGCTGCAAGGCCACACTGCTGATTCCTGGTCAATTTGTCCACCTGGACCCCTAGATCCTTTCCTGCAAAACTGCTTCCTAAACAGTCAGCCCCAGCCTTTACTGCTGAATGGGGTTATTCCTTCCCAGATGCAAGATTTATTGCTTGCTCTTGGTGAATTTCAAGAGATTTCTGTCTGCCCATTTCAGCCTGTCCAGGTCCCTCTGACTGCCCTCCGTTGCATTGACTGCTCCACCCAATGTGATGTTATCCCCCAACAAGCTGAGAGTGCATCCTGTCCCTTCATCTAGACCCTCAATGAAGGCATTAAACATTCTTGGTAAGGAACCCCACTAGCTACTGACCATCACATGGGCTTTGTACTGCTGATGAGAACAGGCCTGCCTGGCTCAAAATTCCATGCACTTTATCCAGCCCATATCTCACCAATTTAGTGATGAGACTAAGGCAGACTGCGTCAAAGGCCTTGCTGAAATCAAAGTATATGACCATCCTCAGCTCTCCGCTTGCTTGGCCACAGTGCCTGTCAACTCATCATGAAAAGCAATGAGTTTGGTCAGGCATGATTTGTTCTTGGTAAATCCATGTTGAATGCTCCTAGTTACCTTCCTTACTCCTTTTGCTACCAGTATATTCACAGAAACTTTTCTGGCTGCCTTTCACCTCCCTTCCTAGTTTCAATTCTGGCTGACCTTTGGCTTTTCTGACTTCATTCTTACATGTGCAGGCAATGTCTTTATATTCCTTTCAAGTAGCTGGTCCCAGGTACTTGAACTTTTGTGAACTTCCATTTTGCATTTGAGCTCAGTCAGGATATCCATGCTTATCCATACTCACCTTCTGCCCCACTTGGTCAAGGCACAGAGGGGTGAGGAGGGAGAAGCTAGTAGCTATCAGTCTAATTTTGAAGTAGCCCTTGAGCATTTGGGATTTGGAGGAGCCACTAGTGTTGGTGGGTAAAACATCCTCCAGTCTGCCCCCCTTCCGTGAGCATTTCTATGGGATTGGTTCAGAGACAATATAGGAGGTTTTTCACAAGGCAAGATCATATCTGCTTTGACATTCCTATCCTCCTTATTTCTTTTTTAATTCTTTTCTCATTTTTTTTAATGACTGTCCTTCACTGAATTTGTAAATAGGGTTTGGGGTTTTTTTACATTGTAGAATAATCCAGTCACATTTTTCTTTGTATACATGAAAAGTTAACTCCTGTTCATTCTGATCTGGTGTTGTTCCCTAGTTGATAGAGCAACAGAAACCACTCATGTCCCCCAGTCTGCTGCAGGCTGGAGCGCACGGAGAAAGGGGAGACCCGAGGAAGGGGAACAGCCAGCCTGCTGCTGGTGTGCAGCAACAGGTTTCTATCTATTGCCATGCTGATGAGCTAGTTGGGTTTCTTGTAAGTGTGGTACAGAGGGTGATGTGGTTAAAGGCCCGTAACATACAGATGGGAGCAAATGCTTGGCGGCTCAAAACAGAAAATCGGAATAAAATATTGCTTTCAGCGTCTCTTTGTTACATCTTGAAAGGTGAAGAATTTGGATTTAGAAATAATTTGTGTTTAAATGTGTTATCAGAATGTATCTGTAAACAGAAACTTGGGTTTTGCTGCTATATTTGTGCAAACAAATGATGAAGCTGTTCTGGAAGCTTCAGTCTGCCTTTGTTAACTTTTGCTGAAAGTTTTATCTAAACTCCTGGGTGGTATTCCATTAGAAGAACCATAAAATGTTAAAAGGATATGATGAGGACAACATTAAGATAACTTCCATACGTTTGGGCGTTTGTAAATCTTGGAAATCTATGTGGGTGGAAACAGTGGAGCTTTACCCTTGCTTTGACAGAGCTGAAGGACTTGGGCAAAAACAAAAAAAAAAAAGAAGAAATTTAGGTAGCTGAGGGTGTGATATTTATTCAACTTCAGTTATCAAAGATATAAATAATAGAATGATTGTGCATGTGACTCCCCAAGGAAACAATTAAATTTGTGTATGGTCTGAGTATTTGTTGACTGACTGGCAACTGTCTCTGCCCTTTTCTATTCATGGATTGCACAATGAAATGACTCAGATTATCCAGTCAAGTTTACGAGGTCTGAGAGAATTTGCCTAGATTACACAGGAGCTAATTGATTAAATCACCTCTTTGACAAGCCAAATAGTACTGTTTAGCTGAAGGATAAGTAAATACTGCTGCTTAGCTGAAAGATAAGCAAGCAGAAGAAACAGAAAAATATTAACTGCAAGGATCTGATATACATATTCATGGTTCACACTGTATCCTGAACAATTTCAGAACAGATAGACCTGGTTTGTTGTTTTCCATATGTTTGTGCTAACAGCCATACATCCATTTGTTCTTTCATATACACCCCTATGAATATTAGTCCTGCGGAACTATTGAAATCAAGTTTCTGTCAAGCTTTCCTCTCAAGCCCTTCTGAAAAGTCAGTGGGGATGTGTCATGCTACAAGCATGGTTCACACTGTATCCTGAACAATTGCAGAATACATAGACCTAGTTTGTTGTTTTCTGTATGTTTGTGCTAACAGTCATACAGCAATTTGTTCTTGCATATACACCCCTATGAATATTAGTCCTGTGGAACTATTGAAATCTAGTTTCTGTCAAGCTTTCCTCTCAAGCTCTTCTGAAAAGTCAGTGGGGATGTGTCGTGCCACAAAGGCACAAATAAACACGGCAGAGCTCAGCCTCCTAGCACCTGAACATGCAGTAGTGTACCCTGCCCCCCTGCCTAGCCTGAAGTGAAATTAGACTGATAGATTTATCCTGGGACACCCAAAATACTTTGGGCCATAGTTAGCCAAGAGACCACTCCCTGTGTGATATTGCTGCAAACAGAGGCAATCGGCTGTCCTCAGCCTCACAGCTCTTCCCTTTAAAAGAGAGGGTCTTGGGTGCAGGGGGGGTTTCCCTGCAGCATCCTCAGACTCCATCACGGCAGGCTCATCTCTGCAGCTCTCAGGGCAGAGGTAAGATAACAAGTACTTGGTTCATGGCTGTGCTCGGTTGTAGAGTGATTTTGTCGGGAAGGAGTAGCAGTAGCCAAATTTCACTAATTTTAGAGATTTTACATTACAATAGCTATATCTCAGTAGAAAGCATTCTATCCAAATTTGGTATTTTATTTTTACTCTATATCTAAAGCAGGTTTTTCATTCATCTCTCAATTTCTATTGAATAAAACTAAGGAGAAGATGTTATTCTTACTAAGAGGCAAAGATGTTCCATGATACTATTCAAAACTGTATTTTACATGGAAATTATGCTGATTTTATCTCAGAGTTTTGCAGTATTCACTGCCAAAGTTATGCTTATGACTGAAAACATTTTAGAGGTTTGTGGTGGTTTATTATTTCTAATAGATAATGTAATGGGTAAAAAAAAAAAAAGCTATTCTAGAAACATTTAAAAAGTTAGAATAATTCAAAAACCTTTCAGGAGTTAGGGGAATGTTCTATACCTATAGATGGTCTCATGAAGGCTCCCTCTCATCCACCTCGATATCAAATCCCTGTGATAACTAGAGATTTTGTACATGAAAGTAATGCCAGAAAAGACATTCCCAATTTCAGCTGTCCATAATGCGGTTTGTCTGTCACAAGGAAAGCCATCACTGGGTGACCTGCCTCACGCAGTGAACCTCAGATAACTGATAACTGCACAGAGGCCTCTTCCCAACTGGCTGTTCTCTGGTTTTGCCGGGTTTGGTTTTAAAATTCTCCGGCAAGGTGGCTTCTCGCTCTGTACCCGGCAGACCCTGCTGCCCACCGGCAACAACAGCCGACAGCGACTGCTTTGGCCTGGACGCAGCCTGCGGCCCCCAGAGCTTCGGCCTGTGTCAGTTTTGAACGCGGTCACAGATGGGGATTTGTTTTACTCGGTCACTACCATGTGATAAGTCACGCAGAGCCACCAGGGGCTCCTGATCCCGTGTGATCCTGGGTCAGCCCAAATCTGCTGAAAGCTCCTGCTGATCTCACTGTGGCTGAGGGCCACCCATACTTTGTTGGGCTTTTTTTTTGTGTGTCTTTTTTTTTTTTTTTTTGCTGTCCAAGGGAAAGGGCTGAAGGGATAGGGGGATGACAGATGGTGCTCGCAGTAATGTAGAAAAAAAAATATTAGCCATCTTTACAGTCGCAACGATCTGTTTAGTTATTGACAAGTTATTTGCTGGCAGCTCTCAAAAGACGGGTGTCTTTCAGAAGTCCTCGATGCCCTTAGGGGCAGGTTCTCTGTGAAGGTGTGGGGGGCTCTCCCATCACTTGGAGAGTCACCTATAGCTGTCCTGGGGGCAGCTGGTACGTAACTCCACATTTCACTTGGTTTCGTAACTGATACAAGCTTGGCCCATCTATCTTGACCCACCTCGGACAAGGAAACAGTGACTCCTTTTGCAATCGCAGGAGGTTTTGAGATACGGGGGATAAATCTCTCTCCACTATAGAGATGACTGTCCCAGATGGGAAGCCTAACTTTTGAATAAAATAAGCCCTCTAATAAAATAAGCCCGATTCACCCAAATATATTGCGACGCACAGCCAGATGGGAATGCTAAATACTTTTTTTTTTCTTTTGTTCTGAGCATTAGGTCACTGACCCAGGCTGTGAATATCCCCTAATATTTTTTTTTTGTGAGGAGACCACCTAAATCAGCCAGTTGCTGATGAGCTCAAGGAATCTGAAAATTTAAAGCACTCTGATAACGCCAGTCATTAAACCAAATGACTAGCAGTGATGTATAACTTATTATTAAACACACTCACCTGTTTATTATGAATGTGTTTTTGTAAAATGCAATGAACACTGAAGCCCCTATCTGTGAAACAGCAGAAGGCTACAGCAAGCTTTCAATAAGCTGTTGGAAATCTCAGGTTCATTTGACCGAAGAGGTATATAGGCACCCAAAAAAAAGGAGGAGGGTGAACATGAAAAATATCTGTACTGTGACATAAACAGATACAAAACTGCCATTTTGAAAAGATAGATCATGGCACCAGACTGTACATTCTGTCGTTTTATTTGGCTCCCACCAGCACTGATTTTTAATAAAAATGTCACATAAAGTAGAATTGGATTCATTTCAGCATTTTCCCATTTTCCCCCATGACACTATCAAGGATCCTTTGGAAGCATGGGTTGCGAAATAAAGCTCTATCATGGACCAGAAACTGCTTAACAGGAATGAGGGAAAAAAAAAAAAGAGAGAAAATAAATTACCATTTGACCGTGGAATCCACAAGGAGAGTTTTTAGATAAAATTGAATGCATTTATTAACACGCAGAGGAAGGGATAGAAAAACATTTTCTGCTGATCAAAAAACCCCCCCATGAGCAAAAAGGAATCATAAAAGGATTCTTAGAGTTGTGGCTAAAATCTTAAGTGTTTCCTAAAGCAGGAGTATCCACGTCTGTAGATAAATGAGCTGATTAGGTTGTCCAAAGCGCTAAGTCTCAACGACTTCTGCTGAATCACCACCAGATTAGGTACCTAGAGCTCCACATACCTTGGGAAAAATCAGCTCTTTATTTTGGTACCTGGAGGCAGGAAGGGAAGGAAATCACAACCTGAAAATGCCCTAGCACTTCTCATTGAAAAGGACTTGTTCTTTTGTGGAGATAGTCCTAAAGTGGAGATATCTCAAGCACCTTTTCCACTCGCTCCAAGGCAAGTGAGGAGTTGGCTGGCTCTTGTCCTCCATCCTGAGGAGCTCCATTTCCCAAACAACCTGTGGAAAAGAAGCTCTCTCATTTTCCATTGCTGGCTATTTACCTTATCCATTCTGGAGAGACACCTGATAACAGAACAACTCACACCAGGGGAAAATGGACTAGAGCCACCATGTGACAAATGTGGCTGAGCCTCCCTCAGTTATTATGCTTCCTGCATGAACCACCACTGTTCTCATCAATATTTATTAACAGGTCCCGTGAAAATCAACAAAGATGCTGAAGATCTGCTGTTCTGTTCTTCTCCTCTTAAGTCTTCTCAGTTTGCAACTGAAAGCTAACCCTGGGCTCAAAGTGAGGATCAGCCAGAAGGGGTTGGAGTATGGTATGTGTGATTTTTGTGGTTTGTTCCTTTGGGTGTTGTTTTTAGGAGCTGGTGGTGTTACTGCATTGAAAGCTGATATGGCAAACGTCTTGGGAGTGAGGGCAGTGGGAGGAAATGGGCTGATCAGAGGCTGCAAAGAAAATGAAGGTTTGAGAACATAATAAAGAAGAAATAACCGTGACATACTGGAAGGAGTTTGACAGCCTGGTACAACATATCCAGGTTCGTCTGAGTTCAGATACCGAATCAGTTAGTTCAGCTCTTGCAGTGACTAGGGCAGAGAGCTGAAATAGCGCTGCTGGGCCTCAAATGAGACACCTTCATCCTTCCATCCCTGCGTCCATTCAGGCAAATGGAATCAGGCACTTTTGTACTTAAATTTATATTTGTGCTTAAAGTTGCCTAAACTGGAAGCATATGAGCATAAACTCCCAGTCAGCATCAACGGTGATTGAAGTGATTACTGTCTTCTTGCAGCCAAGGAGGTTGGCCTTGAGATCCTGAAGCAGAAGATGGCGAAGGAGCAATTCCCTAATTTGAATGGCCATGAGAAATATGGGCTTGGTAATGTTAAATACAACATCTCAAGGTAAGTAATAATCCTGCAAAATAACTTACTATCACTATATGTAGCATTGTGTGTGCATAATCATGAGACTGTCAATGTGTATTACAGTAACTATCACTTAAAGGAAGATGCCCTTTTTTGTGACTTGCGGCCTTCAACCAAACCCTAATGAAATCACAGCAAACATACATGAAGAGTGATCCCTTTCCCTTATTTTCTTTCCAAGTGGAAATTAATTATCTGGACCAATTTAGTCAACTAAGTTCTTACTGTGATTCAGTGGAGAGAGCTCACATACTCAGAGAGCAGTTCTGCCGCTGATTTGGACACTTATTTTAGAATGAGACTGATCATCCTTTGCAGATGTTGATGTTTTTCTATTGGCTAGAGAGGGAATCAAGAGACCAGCTTATATCGGATATCTGATTTCCAGGAGGCTGAAGTAGATCAGAGAGGAGCCTGGATCAATACTAGCTACTGATCTAGAATACATCCATAGGAACTGATTTTAAAATAATACACTGTGTAACTTGGGTAACCATCCCCGCAGCTGTCCACACCAATCATGTGAGATGCTGCATGATTTGAAATAGTAAATGAGCAAAGTTTTAAAATACACAGAATCCTCATGCACAAACACAAAGTCAGTGTCTAGGTGCAACATGTTGCATTTCAGTGCTTAGCCTGCAACCTGTGTATGTACAAAGTCAGTTTGGCACCTTGCTGGCTACTCAGACGAGCACTTAGCCAATTTCCCAATTACTGTGCCAAGTAAATGTAAAACCATGTTAGCAGCAGAGTTCCACCTATTGTAGCCTGAAAAAGTGCAATATTATTTTTTTTCTCTCTCTCTGTTATCTCCCTCATGTTATAGAATAAGAGTCACTGCTGTTGAATTTCCCAGTGCTTCCATCTCCCTGCTACCTGGGACAGGGATAAAACTGGTAATCGCAAATGCTTCTCTAACCATTGATATGAACTGGAGCTTAAGGACCTGGATGTTGTAAGTACAGGCTGATGTACAGGCTGCTGCTGACGGAAAAGGATATAAAGATAAAATGGAAAGTTTAGTTGTCCTTGTGACCTCTT